TATATATATATATATATATATATATATATATATATATATATATATATGTTGAAAACATACAGTCCATTACTTTGGATCATTATATTATATGCTATCATCTAGGTACACTTTAGTATATTCTATCATACAGGTGGAAGTTACCTCATTAAACTTTTGTTTCAGGAAATTTCTTGTTTCTGTATTTTTATGTATCTGATTAAGCATAACAATTGCCCTTTACTACATGGCTGGAATCATGCCTGGCAGGTTTGGTACCTTGCTTAGCAGGACAACTCTGCTTCTTGATGGTATTTTGTTTAATTCTATTTTATATTTTCTATGTCCTCACAGGTAGCAAAAAGAAAATAGAAAAATGGTTAGTTATTGCCCTCCCCTCCAGCCTCACCATAGGGCTGCCAAAGCTCCGTATTAAGAATTTACCTTCATAACTCAATCTGTTTCTTAATACCATTGCATTAAGGAGTAAGGTTCAATTTGTATTTTAGAGATATTTGTATTGAATATTTGAGAATGCAAATGTTCAAAGCAAGGGAATCTTGAAAGTTGATGACTTTTTTCATCACTGTTAAGGTAGAATTTATGAGCAAGCATGAAAATGAATGTTTAGTATCCATATAAAAAAATGCATACAAAACATATCCAACTATGAGTCCAGAAGTGCTTTTTGTTTTTGCCATGTTTTATTAATATTAGTAACATCTCAGAAATCGAAAATTGTTCCTGCTTCTTCTGAAGTCAGTTTTTGTATGAATGCATGGGTTATATGTTTTTGTGCATTTGTATATTTGTATATAAAAATGTCTGTGAGAAAATATGTGCATTACATGTGTGTATGTGCTTTTACATGGCGGTCAGGGATCAGAGGTCAGTGCTGGGGGTATTTTTTGATAGGTCTCCACCTTAGTTTTTGAGTTGAGCTCTTTCGTTGAACTTGGAATCTATTCAGATGGGATGGCTGGCTAGTAAGCCCAGAGAATCAACCCTGTCTGCCTCCCTGGTCATGAGATTACAGATGTGCACACCGCACCTGGTTTTTCTGTGGTTCCTGGGTATCTGAACTTACATCCTCACACTGTGCAGCAAGCCCCTTCCCAACTGAGCAATCTCCCCAGGTCCGATGTTAACTTTGTAAGTGCTTTCTTCCTTAGGATGCCTCACTGATGGACATGAACTCATTTAGCCCTATGATGCCAATATCCCCTTTGTCGATGATAAACCAAATCAAGTTTGAAGATGGACCAGATTTAAAGGATCTCTTCATTACAGTTGATGCACCTGAGAGTCATGTCACTACAATTGAAACTTTCGTCACTTACAGGATCATAACCAAGGTAACTTCTGAGTGAGCGGAATGCCATGTGCTCTTTGAGCTTCTGGAAACACTTCTTGGTCATGTAGTTCAGTGTTGCAATATCTTTTTCATTGACGTTTTTATTGAAGCCATTTTGGGTAGGAGATTTCATCTGACATACCTTTACTTGGTTCCTATGAAATTTGATATTTGAATTGACTTTATAAAGTGACCTTTTTATTTGGACTACTAAGAATAATAAGATTTAGGTTTTGCTCATAAAAATGACAACTAGCCTGGTGTGGTGGGTCATGCTTTAAATCCTAGCACTTCGAGGCTAAGTCAGACAAAGCTCTAATTGAAGGCTACCCTGGCAATGCACAGTTCAAGGAGAGTCTGGGCTTCATGACACACTATCTCAAAAGAAACACTAAATAAGTAAATAATTAGGTTGATTCCTAATACAGAGATCAATCACTAAAACCAGGACAGAGTAACATTTTATAGTGATAGCTTTTCTGAGGATTATAAAGTGTAATACTGTTTGTTTCTCAGATAGAAGCAAACCGCCCCTATAGCATGCAGGCGGAATACTTGTTCAACAGTACAAGAGAAACCAATTCGAAAACTAAGGTTGTCATTCTTTACACAAAGAAAGCTAATGTCAGACAAAACAAAACTAAATATAGTCTGCTTCATTAAGTCCATTTTTTATGAGTAATTTCTCTCTGCACATTAAATATCTTTTTTTTTAGAAAGGTTCATTCATCACCAGAGTGGCTCTTGAGTGCTGAAGAGCAGCATCTCTTTAGTTGAGAGGGTTCCAGACTATGCCTCTGCAGTCTCATCTTTCAGTGCCGTTGCCACACTATGGTCCTGTGTTCCTGAAAGTGTATAAATGGAATCTCTCTCCCTGGCTCCTCATTTCCTCCAGTGCAAAGTGCAATATGTCCCTCTGAGCCAGGTCACGTGAGCTCAGGTCAGGGACAGCTCTGTACACACAAGACTCATCTCTTCTACCCTTGAGTCTCTTCTCTACTCAGGTAGAGCTGTTTCTAGGCTCTGAGTATTACAGGTACCTCTTGGTCTCGTGAATCTGAATATGCTTTTCCATCTGCCTGACATCTCCATCTCCTAAGATGGAATGAGTGCTATTTGTTTTTCAAAACTCAAGGTATTAGCTGCCTAAGAAGGCTTTTCTAGCTGCTCAGTGCCTCCCAGCATTCCTCTGTTGTTTCAAAGGAATCCTTAAGGACTGTAAAGTATCAAGTTGTTACAGAAATGAAACTGAAAATGTATCCTCAATTCTAAGTCACATAGTCCTTAGAGGAAAAAAAAAAGAAAAAAGAAAAGAAAAAAAACCCCAGACATTTTTAGTAGATGCTAGCTGGTTCTGTAACTCAGAGCTAGCCTTGCTCTGAGAATCGACTTAAGTGAAGTAATCAATGTAAAACATTTAGCCATGTGTATTAAGTGGTCAATAACTGTCTTCTACCCAATAGTAAGTAGAAAAGTACATGTGGATTGGATTTGTATTTATGTTCAGGGATGTTCAGGGAGTCTGAGCTTCATAAGGAAGAGGTGTGTGTGTGTGTGTGTGTGTGTGTGTGTGTGTGTGTGTGTGTGTTATTTATTTTTATGTGCATTTGTGGTTTGTCTACATATATGTCTGTGTGAAGGTTTTGGATCCTGGGGTTACAGACAGTTGTGAGCTGGCATGTAGGTGCTAAGAATTGAACCCGGATCCTCTGGAAGAAGTTAAGATGCTTTTAACTGCTGAGGCATCTCCCCAGCCCCTCAGGGAAGGTTTTGTAATTCCAAATACAATTCTCAGGATCTACTTAATTAAAATCCAGTTATTTTCTTGAATGAATAAATGAAGTCTTTGTATTTTTGTGGTATCGAGAGGGGTTTCAGCAAGAGAGTGTGGAGTTGAATAGACATCTCTTTCCTTGCTATGTGTCTTGGGCATTTTAATCAACCTCTTTAAAATCATTTTCTTAATTTTTAAATAATGTGACAGCAGTAACTTTGAAAACTTTTGTACAAATGTGAATAGATTAAAATAAGAATACTGCACAGAACAGACCCAAGGCTCATCTGCATCCTCTCCTAACACTGCCCTCCTTCACTGGATCTGTGAAACAGTTATTTCCCCACCATATGGATTCCTCAGAGATACCCTTTTTGAAATGCCCATGAGATCTGATTCTGGCCAGTGACATACAGTGAATTATCCATATTGTTATCATATTTTAATCTACTTCATTTAAGTTAATTTCAAGTGTCAAAGGTGGGTAGGCATGAATATGTGTGCACGTGTTGCCACTGTACATGTGGATGTTAGAGGACAACTTGAGGTAGTGGTCCCTCCCTTCTTCCATGTGAATTTTGGGATTAAACTCAGGTTCTGTGAGTTGGTGGAAGGTGTCTTTCTCTGCTGAGGCATCTTACTGTCTTCCCACATCATAGTTAAATGGGCTGGTTTATAGTACTAATGATAGCGATGACATTAGGATGTACGATCCAGATGGCCTCAGTGGTGGGCACTCTGGGTGAACACTGTTTGAACCACTGTTTACATTGAGTAGTGACAATGACATCAGAATGTATTTTAGCAGCTGACATCAATGGTGACTACACTTAGAGGCAAGGCTTTAAACACGTTCTACATACCTGACAACAGTTCCAGAATTTACATGTTATTATTTGCCTTCATTTTCTTCCATAATAAAGAAAAACTCAGGAACTTTGCAAGAATTATACTACAAAGTCATTGGCAGAGCTGGACTTATAAGTATAAACCATTTCCTTCTGTATGTATTTTTCCATTATATTTTTACCTCTCTGTGTTTTGGATGTGGCAAACTTGTCTTTCACATTATTATAAACTAAGTGTCATTTTCTACTTTCTATTACTTTTATCCTAGTATGTAAACTGTACATATATGCAGTGAATATACATTAAATATATAAATATATAAACATCTATTAGATGTAGGTTGTATTATCAAAATTATTTGTTGTTTGCTTAGTATCACTCATGCAAGAATTTATTCTTTAAGGTTTTTTTTTTGAATGCTACTATTGTTCAGATTCTTATGTACCTACGACTCTGGTCAGGCTTCACTTGATGGACAGCGATTTCTGCCTTCAAAATATAGATGATAACGAAGAATATGATGATGTTAATTACTGAATACTCGTTTAATTTAAAGTCGTATGAAGGAAGACACAAACTTGTCACAAACATTGGACATGGATGGATGGCTTCTCTGAGGAAGACTTGCTTGATTTTATACAGAGTCTCTAGCCCAGGCGGGCCATGAAATCACTAGCCAGCTAGGATGAGTTGAATGTATGGGCCTCTTGTCTGCACTTCCTCAGTGCTGAGATGACTTGTGTGCCCAAGCCTACCTAGTCTGTGCAGTGCTGAGTGTTATATCTCATGCAAGCTAGACGTGAATTGAAATATATCCTCAGCTCCAGTTTCAGTTTTATAATATTACCATTCATGCATACTGAGGTCTATAAAGATGTACACATATGCAAAGTCACCTGTACACACTATAATAACCTGGGATTAGGATCATTTAACAGTAATCCAGCAATATAAGGTACTCTCACATTCAATGCATCTTTTTCCTGAGAAGGGACCTTTATTCTTGAAACTGACTTTATTTTTAAGTTACTGTACATCCTGCTAATTCTTCTCTGAGAGGGTTCCCCATGGGAATACCTCTACTCTGGCATATCATGTCTCTGTGGGTTTGGTGCATCCTCTCCCACTGAGGCCAGACAAGGCAGCCCAGCTAGAAGAACAGATCATATGGCTAGGCAACAGCTGTTGGGATATCTCACACTCTAGTTATTCAAGACCCACATGAAGACCAATATGTGTGGAGGGCCTTGGTCCAGCCTGTGTATGTTCTTTGGTTGGTGGTTCAGTCTCTGAGAGCCCCAAGGGTCCAGGTTAGTTGACTCTGTTGGTCTTCCTGTGGAGTTCCTATCTCTCTCTGGGCCCAAAATCCTTCCCACTACTCTTCTGTAACATTCTGAGGTGATTGCTCGGAAGAACTGCTTTGTCCTTTGGAGACATAGAGATTACTTTCCTTTAGGGATTGTGGAAATAAATCTAAGAGATTTAACTCTGGTCTTTGCTCCCATATTATCGTCATGAAGCATGCAAATACCTGCTAGTATGCAGCCAGTAGCTGTTGTCCTCCACTGATAAATTGATTATTAAGATTCATTTATGCCAAAAGCAGTTTTGTAAATCTCCTGAGCTTAGAATACCTACATTTGTTGAGCAAATGCATTTGTAATATTGCTCCTATAGACACTTGCGTTCCAGTCAGAAGCATTATTGAGACTTGAAGTACACCATGTGTTCTTTCTGGCAGGGTCTCTCATCCAATCCAGTTCATTTTATGGCTGTGAGTGACCAAATATGACTGCTCTAGGTGGGATGGTGATTCTAAAGTCTACTGTAGGGAAATTCGTCATCATCTAAGCTCAGATGACTATATATACTTTGCTGTTTGTATCCCATGCAGGAGAAGTATAGGGTCCGGAAGTAGAACGAAACAGAATATTATACTTAGATTTGAACGTATTTTCTATTTTCTTCAATTGTTGTTATATGCCATTAAATTCCTTTAAGCCAGTGACAGAGTGAAGAGGACAGAATTAATTGATTCTTTGATAAGATTTGGCGTCTTCATGCTGGGATTTTTAACAAATTGCTTTGTGTTTACTAAAGACTTGGAGGTGGTTGAGAGCATATACAGCTGAATCACATTCTCACCGATTAGATGTGAGTGCTTTCATTAGTATTAATGGTCACACCAGTTTACAGCTTTGGAAGTTGTTCATGAACCCGTTCATAGTGCCTGGTGCTTAGTCCAATAGAGAGTGACTAATTGATGATCTGTGTGTGTATATGCAAGCATGATGTGTATGCGTACATATATCCACATATCAGTCAGCGTGTCTATATATATATATTGTTAAACATGTTTTTACTGGATCTAGATTTTCTGTTCTTACTGTTTCCACATCAAGTGTCATTTTGCAAAGTAACTACATTTTTGAAGTGTTTTGCGAACATTTTGATTCTTAGGCTGCTGTGTCTGATGTATCCCCACCTTTTCTAATTGCAAAGAGAACGTTTACTAAGATCTACTGTATGATATTGTAAATATGAACTCTTAAGGATGGTGTACTTTCACAAGCTTCTTAATAATTTCTAAACCATTAAAACTGTACCCTGTGATATGAACTGCTTAATTTTCAAGTGACTCACCCATGTAGGTAGTTGTTATTTTCTGTGATGGGAGATATGTTTGCAATACTTTTTATTTTATTCCATCTTTACTCCTGCAGGAAAATCTCAACCTAAATATTACTGTATATAACTTTTAGTATGCAAAAATCCAGCTAAGTGGGGCATCAGTAGAAGTGGTTATTTTCTCATGAGATGTTAAGTATGAATTAGAGAAGTGTTACTTTTATTTTGGCCTGAGGTTTAAGCAGTAGCTGTGAGGGTGATATTGAACCGATGTCCTTGCCACATGAGTTGGCACAGATTTTTGGTTTAGTAGGAAGAGAGGACTTAATATATTGGCTAAAATTTTAAGAGTTTAAACATGGAGCTCAAAAAAGACATTCCCTTGAGAAATAACAGAAAAAAAATCGTTTGACATTAAATATCCATTAATTATGTTTTTCTGGAAAAAGTGGCAAAATCACTCTGAAAAAAAATGTTAGAATTTTTACATACCAACAGCAGATTTTAGTGAAAGCAGTTCACTTGAACACATTCCAAGAAAACAGTCTTCTCGGTTATATTCAGGTTATTTTCCAGATTTTAAAAATAGAACTTTCCTCAAATTCTGAATTCTAATCATGTCAAGAAAAGAATAATGTTTGAAACCTACATTCAGAGCACACTTTCTAAGCGAGAAAGCCACGCCAGAGTAATAGTAGTCAAAAGCCTGTGGGAGCCAGATGGCTGTTGGAAGACAGATTTTTCAGTTTCGACTTCAGATTTCAGCATGGTGTTTGCTTTCTTTGTGGAAAAACCGGAAAGTTCACTTAATTTCATCTGCTGCTTGAATAGATGACTGGAAAAAGAAAATACAGGCTGACAAACACTGAATAATTAAGATGCAAGTTTTCTTAGAGACCTATTTTTTTTTCATAATATCTAAAATAGAATTAAGCAAATGTCTTCTGTCTTCCACTGTATGGGCTGTTATGTTTTTCTGCTTCTCTCAGACATCTCGTGGGGAGTTTGATTCCAGTGAATTTGAAGTCAGGCGACGTTATCAAGATTTCCTTTGGTTGAAGGGTAAACTGGAAGAAGCACACCCCACACTCATTATTCCCGTGAGTTTATAAGGGCTTTTGGTTCTTGTTTATAATATAGCCACTGTATTTTTTGGAGTATTTTAGAGTGTCTAAAACATAATGCCAAACATAATACCTTTAAATCCATTAAATTTTACTTATCTTAGGAACATTTGCTTTCAAACTCTTTGATTTAACTGCACTTCTAAAAATTATTATAACATGGAATGATGTTTCATTTTTTCCTGACTAGTTTTATGGTTTTTAACATATTATACTTATTGATTGGTTGACTGACTGATTGATTGATTGATTGTGGGGGGTAGCCCAGGTATGCTATCATGTATATGGCGGTCTCAGACTACTGGTGGGAGGGGGAATCCTTCCACCACATATGTCCCCAGAGATTAAGCTCAGGTCATCAGCCTGACAGACAGGGGTGCTATTTTCATGGCGAGTCATATTCCCAGCATGTACCATGGATATTTTTAAATGTTTGTAACAAATGATGAAGTGTTCAACTGTTCTTCAGAATTCTTTGCAACCTGGTGTGTCATGTTATATGCAAGATTTTTGTTTTTTGGATTTTTTTTTATTTTAATTTAATTTTATTGTTATTTGTGTGTGAGCATGCTCAGGTATGGAGGTCAGAGTATAACTTTTAGGATTCTCTCCTTCCACCCTGTGGATTCTGGAGATAAAACTCAGGTTGTCAGACTTGACAGCATGTGCCATTATGGGCCATCTCATTGGCCTTTGGATAGATGTTTTAAATGAATATTTTATTTAATTTTTAAATTGGCACAGAGAACAACAGGGTTCCTAAGAGCATTTGCATACATGCCTAGCTCCGGCTATTCCCCACCACGCCTCTGTGACCTCTGCCCTCATACTTCTCGTAACCATCTCCATTTCTCAGCTCCATTTTTCATCCTCCATCGCTGCCATAGGCATGTGTTCTCAGATAGTTGTTGCTTTTGTTTTTGGTCTCAGCCATTGCCAGAAAAGTTTATCGTGAAAGGCATGGTGGAACGCTTCAACGATGACTTCATTGAGACCCGCAGGAAGGCACTGCACAAGTTTTTGAACAGGATCGCCGACCATCCAACTTTAACATTTAATGAGGATTTCAAGGTTTTCCTCACTGCACAAGCCTGGGTAAATGGTGCTATTTTATATTCATAAGATCCTTTAGTACCCATGTGTGCATCAGACTGCATGTCCCCTCTTTCTCACCTTTACAAATTAGGCAGTGGTATCCTTGAAGTGTTCTAGTATATTGTTTTAGAAAATATTGAAGAAATATTAGAAAATATTTTAGGTATAATCCTGGTATGCCAAATCAACATGTAAACAAGATAGAAGTCTGTTGTCTTCCTCACATACATATATTCTTATTTCTGTTAACTTTTATTCAGTGACAGAGTGCTCTTTGCATATGTGATCAACATTGGTCATGCATAAATATGATGTTCTATATGTGTGATGTTTGGATGTGTGTGTGCATGTGTGTGTATGTGTGTGTGTGTGTGTGTGTTTATGATGCACTAGTGTGTGTGCCCATTCTAGTGTCAACATATGTATGTCAGAACAGATAAGTAAAGGACAGAAGACCCAAGGGTGTCATGGAATGACCCTTTCACAGAGGTCACATATTAGATATCCAGCGTATCAGACATTTGCATTATGATTTATAACAATAGCAAAATTACAGATATACAGTAGCAACAAAAATAATTGTATGGCTTGAAGGGCCACCACACATGAGGAACTGTATTAAAGGGTTGTAGCACTGGAGACATTGAGAACCACTGAACCTTAGAAGCTCATTCCTCAGAGTATAGAATATGCATCACACCCAAAACATGTTAAATCAGAGTCTGGAACAACAGCGTGGCAGCTACACTTTGTACTGCTAGTGATAAGGTATGCTTTCTCAAGGAAGTCAGGGGTACTCCTTGGTGGATGGGTTGTCTGGTCAGTTACACTTCGGTCACAAATGTGTTTTCATAAGACTTTTTAGAAAGAAAACCTGTGGGAAGACAAACAATATCTTCGCCCATGTTTGAGTAAATGATATATTGCTTGTAAATCTATGAATCAGGAATTATTTTTACTCACAGATTATGAATCTCTTTCTTATGTGTTTTGCTCTCTAAGTTTTATTTGATCCCAAACAAGCCCATGTTGTCACAGATGTTGCAGTGCCCCTCAGAACCTAGTGAGCTCTGATTTGTGTTTTGTTGTTTACTTAAGCACACTGTATTTCTCAAGGGATGATTTTCATGGCTGCGTATTTGTTTTTGTTTTTCTAATCTGTAGCTGTCTCTCCCATGACATAACTAGGTGCATGTCTTTTTAAAGAGCCTTCTCTGCATACAACCGATCAGTGGAGGTGGTGTCCCAGTTACCCACTCCAGTTAGCTCAAGAGCTGTGTTCAGAGAGTCTGGTTATAAACTAGAACGAGAATATGACAAAAGCAGAATATCTTGTGCAGAGTAGTGTCCTGTGCAGAGCAGTGTGTCCTGTGCAGAGCAGAGTGTCCTGTGCAGAGCAGTGTGTCCTGTGCA